TCTTGATAATCCGGTGGCGGAGTAACCCGCCTCGGATAGCATGTGCATTGTCATCACCAGGCAGCACACTGTGCATTGTGTACAGACACAGTACATGTACTGTGGTAGCACAGTGCAGTGTGCCATGCAGTCACCTGCTGAGTGTATGGACACTATTAGCATTATAAAGACTGTATAGGTTGCACATCAAGGTACCATAGCGAGCATAGGCACACGATTGTGTTGAGAAACACAACCAGCTAAACACTAATCGTGCTTTATTCTGCCACTCCTGGAGTTCACGAACAGTGACAATGGCAATGTTTACTTGAGCTGCACACTGTAATCTTCAGGAACATGTGCATGACATGGGGTCAGGCGCAATTAGTGTGGCTCTTTGTTGTGGTTGACCATTTGGGATTACCTGTACACGGTGGCGCTTTCCTTTACTGCAACGACTTAAGTGGTGAGATTTTCATCTCTATTCATTATAACCAGATACGGTAACTGAACCTGGAGTAGTGGAGACAACGCGCGCACAGTGCGATGATACAGAGAACAAATCATTTTCCAAGCACATACAATGTACATGTACATTTTACACCATTGGCATTGGCATTGGCATTGTGGTCGTGACGTGAGTCGTGACGCCAGGTACCAGTCCAGTGATCAGTGAGGACATCTGGCCCTGGCCCTGGGATCATGAATTTAATATTTCGTTAGTGCCTTGCCTTGTTTGCACAACCAATGCACCATGCAGTGATGCACTGTCCAGTGTGAACAAGACCAATGCACGCATGCACTGACTGTCCAGTGTGAACAAGATGAAGGCCAGTGCATACTAGTACTAGAAGTAGAACGATAGAAGATGCACAGCACCCGTCGTGACTGTAGTAACGTCGTTATGCCTGTTTGCTACTTGCACTACTTGCACTACTTGCACTACTTGCACTACTTGCACTATCTGTGCTACAGTCAGTCTGACTGTAGCACAGATAGTGCAAGTAGTAGTAGAATCTACGGTATGGTTTACCGAAGCTTATCGTGTTCTTGTTTATATTCAATTTGTTTCGTCCATTTTCTTTTTAAACTTATTATTGGGGACACAGCCCCATGCTGTGTGATCAGTCGTGTTGTGTTTTGACCCTGAAATGGTTTGACGAAGTACCAGACAAGGGTGCACAGTTCACTAGTATACATGTACATGTGCAATGTCATCTGGTCATGTACAATGTAGAATCAGAATGACTCCACCACTGCCGTATCCTAATGCCATTATAGTAATGGCAGTTCATCAAAGGTTGTGCAATGACGTCGTCAGGACTATGCTGCCAGTGCACAAAGCTCCAATGGCCGACGACTCAACTACATTCATGGAACACAGTTCTTACTCAATCACCGGACAGCTACTTGTAGCTGACCTTCTGAGGTCTAATGTTAGGTGTCATCAGCTCAGACTCAGAGTGCCCGGCAGGCACGGGCGGATTCTACTCGAAAAGGTGGCAGATTCTGCTCGAAAAGCAGTGAAATTGGTAGAACCATACAAATCTTATGGCGGGCAATTCCTCAAAGTTCTGCTCCATTTCTTTATCCACATACCAAACATGCATGAAACTTACCAGAAAAAGTGCCGAATTCTGCCAATTTTTCTGCCGGCATAATCCGCCGGTGCCTAGTGCTGGCTAAACCGATCGCTATGTTGTCCAGTGAACAACAAGGCCGTGATCTTTCTGAACGGACTCAAAGCATGACGATGACGATGATGGCTGCTCTATTTCGTGAATTCAAACCGTTAACGTAGGTTTTCTTTCCAGTAAAAAGGCGGCGAAGACGCAAGGTAGAAGAGAGAGGCAGATACATGTTACCATGGTTACTGTAACTGTTACGTTGACGGAGATCAAGACTTGACAAGAGGCAAGGGTGTTCGGCCAAGATGAAACGAGGGAGACAAGTGTACATGTATGTAACATTGTTACACGATCTTCGGACTACTAGTACTACCCAGTCCCTGTAGCCGCTTATCCGCTTATCTTTCCTTATCCACCTGGAGTCCTGGACTCCTCCTTGGTTTCCCCTTTTCTCTCTAGCTATTCTCTTGTACCTTCTTTTTGCTAGTATTAGTATCATTCACTGATGTGTGGCTTTGAATAAACCATGGATCACAACACCATGTAACCGCTAGGTCTCATTATGGAGCTCAGAATCACACCTGTAGTACTTCTGTGCTGAGATGACTTTTGCAGTTTGTTGGTTCGCTGGGTTTCACGTACCCGCATCACTTTGACGTTTGATACATTCTTTCTGAGATTCAGGAATGGCTCGATACACCCTCTCGTGGGTAATGCACATCATTATTCTGTTGACACGAAATACTTGAAGAGATTCCACGCAGACCATTACGATGGACGCGCTCTGCACTGAGCATTTTCGATGGTAAAGCATCAGGACGATGTCGTTGTGTCAACAGAGTTAGGGCAGATGTGCAGATGCATGATGTGGAATGCTGATGTTCACTGTTGCCTGGGGCGTCGGAATTCCATCTAAACAAAACACCGACTGAGCATGCAGCCGTCGCGCCAGCGCACACCACCAAACCGTAGAAAACAGATAATGAGTTGGGCATGGGACTTGGGAGTGTCGAGTGATTTATTATTTTTATCTGGATTTTGTCATCCACTCCTTGGTTAATACTGTAATACTAGTGCTTAGTAGCGGGTTCTACATGTTGTTTTTAGACAGGGATTCTGCCGACTCTGGATGGTTGGAGTAAGGAGCACTATTTTCAACACAGTGCGCCCTCCGCCTTGTAACAAGCAGCGGGCAGTTATTGCAGCCATCTTATCAAGACAGGCTGGATCCATGCAACCGTGCCGCGTGATTTGCTGGGCATCTAGTGCCTGTTGTGCCGGTGACCTTGCCTGAACTGCTGCTTGGGTGCGAGTCCCGGAGGCACTGCTGAACCCGGCGTTAGTATACGGGCATGTACATGTACATTGTACAATGTCATGTACTAGTACAGGCACGGTTAGAACGAACACGGTTAGAACGAAGGCTGGAAGACGACAGGACACTACAAATAGCGCTAGTGACGTTTACAATTATTTACATGTAGTTATGGAATTGGTTCAGATTTGCAGTGAGACTGGAATGCGTGTGTCCACCCAAACCTCTTTTCTACCTGGTAACTATGACGATGGCATGACCCAGGCCGGGGGCCGGGGCCCGGGGGTGGATTACAGCATCATGGTAATCTGGAATAATACCGGTACGGAGACGAAACTTCCCAAGCTGATTGTGTTTCTATAGCTAGGGGTAGAGCTGATGTGCGAACTATTTTTTACGGAGGTGTATTATATTCAACTAACTTGTAATGTAAGGACATGGCGTGAGAGAAGATGAGTGCATGGGAAATTAGGAATAGCAGGCGTTAGAGATAATAATCTCTTACGATCATTGTGGTATCTGGGTGACTTGCATGAGTACATTGCAGTCGGATGGACCGCTCTCATCTCCTCATGTAACACCTTCTCCGCCCTACCGCAGTTCAAGACAAGAATCCCAGATGTGTCGTCTGGGGTGCAGCCTTATAGATGCCGAAAATTCCTTGGCTTTCTGCTGCTGCAAACGTTAGTAGTGATTGTGCCCTTCCTCGTGACTGTACTGGTGCTGGTGAGCAGAGGACTCTGTCGACTCGTGACACCAGCGCTAAGCTACCGTCAAGCACAGCGACAGAACGGAGTCAGCGGAGAGTGAAAACAAGAATGTCCAACAGACTCAGACCGATGAGCAATGTTGGCTATGATTATGCAGTCAGGACACCACCCTGTTGTTGTCATACCGGTTACGTGCGATGTCCAGGACTCTCGATCTGGCGGCGAATGGCATTCCCAAGATGTTTTCCTGTTAGACAGCACGTCAGGAAGCACCGCAAACCCTATCCCATGTACGAGCGTACATGCGAAAAGGTGGCAACAGCCGACACCTGACAGGACTGCTGCAGTCGTGCAGGTATTGTCTGCACCATGTCACCATGATCGTCCTGAACATGTCGTCGACAGTGCTAGTGTCTGAAGGTGACAGGAGACTGAGAGCCAGTCAGTCAGTCAGGAATGCCTTCTTTAGCTTTGCCATTCCAGACTAGACTGTCGCCATACCATCACGATTCGTTACATTCGCAGACGCTCACAGACTCACAGTGCTTGTATCTCTGTACGAACACGGATGGTGAAGGACTCTCTTTGTAGATTCATATCTGCCAGGACTAGCAACAAGAGGAGTGGAATATCTGCCAGGACTAGCAACAAGAGGAGTGGAATACCCGGTATCTGGTCTGGACGAGTCCATGTACATGAACGTCATGACTTCATTGCATAATTCTAGTTATTGTGATACCTGACCAGAAGCAATCCGCAGCATACTGTACGTTCAATGGTCTCCGAAGATCAAGCAAGAGACCTACTATATACACTGTATAGTATACCCGTATTATCTCTAATAATTATAAGCACAGTCTCCAATAATAGCACGTCTCCAATAATAGAACACCTTGGGGCGGCATTCAAAAAATAAAGTGCTCAGTCTCCATTATAAGCACACTGTGTAAATTCATTATCTGTACCAGCGAAAAAACCCTGAAATGTGTGTGTCTGACATGAATTTGGCATGGCAACAAGCCTCTGAAATGAGGTTGAAATAATAATGGAACAGTCTCCAATAAAGGAACGTCTCCAATAATAGCACGGGGCGGAGGTACATTGAAAAAATAAAGGACCGTGCTTATATTGGAGATAATACGGTATGTACATGTGCTCATACAATCCAGTGACTGATCTCATCATGATCCCCAGCAGTTCTATCAGACTATCACGTACGGCCAGGGTATCTCAAACCAGGACCCTGGTAAGTTATACATGTACATGTAGCTCATCCTCCGGACAGCTCGCTGTTTCCACTTTGCTAGGTCGGTCTCCACAGCGGAGCAGTCAGACTCAGAGTGGCTGGCCGAACCGATCGCAAAGAAGTCGTGTGATCAACAACGCTTAGAAGCCTCAATGTCAGAGTAACACAACTGTTGCCGGGGTATGGGTGTCTCTGACGACACGGCCAAGGACTGACCAGCAAGAGCGAAGCTTGCAGCACTTGCAGCACACATTCTAAAGACAACTTGATGGTGTGCTAACTGTAAACTATAAGCGAACATTCAACATCATGTTTATATGCATTAGGAAACAGCGCTTACTCAAGCATCAACGTTAAGAACTTTAAAAGCTAATAATTAGTAACTGTTCTGACGAACAACATGTAGGTAAATAAGTATATCATGGTGCAGCATTTGTAGCAACGCTATCGAATCTTCGAAACGCAGTCCATGAACATGGCGCATGGAAGCTACATGTATGTTCAGTTGCTGAGAAAGTTACGTGGTAGGGCATGGCTGCAATGTCTTATTCGATGGCTGAAGGCATGCGGAGATTTTTTAAATAACTTAGTTCACGTGCATGTACACGAACAGGCAATAGCTGAGCCAGTCTTGTAAGCTATAATTCAGGCAGGGCTTGTAGTGAGCAATAATTCGGTAAACATCGTTACAGCATTTATAATCAGCTCTAATTGGATTTTCCCATTTCAATGATTTGATTTTCCTATTTACTGGAACGGATTCGTCACCATTGCTTTCTTTGCTTGCGCTCTTCGTGCTCTTCATCCCGTGCATCACCCAGTTACCGACGCCCAGTTTGTTATCAAATAGAGGCAAACTTCTCAGCATTATAACTATGTTAAGCACTGCTGTTTGTCTCCATTTCAGGCTTAAAAGCCAGTGAACACAGGGCCAGGAAGCAAGCCCCTGTCGTCATATCGGAAAAAACGTCAATAATTTTCGGAACAGTAAACATACAACTGGACAGCACAATCTACCTAGAGTTTCCTATATAGCTGCACATCAAGTGACACCGTGCCTTCGGACTGCGAGCCTCGCTAGAGACTCTCATACTCAAGCGTCGTTTTCATGTTGCTGTTGATGGTGCGGACGATGACGCAGGCCACAATGGCCAGCAGTAGCAGACTTCCAGCACTGATTGCAACAATCATCACCACCTGCAATACGCCACACACAACCGAAGGCATGCACATGTTAATCATTCTCTGGTCTTGTGTAGGCATGTAGGCTACAGCATACATGTGTATGGTTGTACGCTCAGAAAGAGTTGCCTATATCAATCAATCATATCTTTAGGACATTGTAGTCAGTGCAGTTCGCTGATCGCTAAAGCATGAAACTGCAAGTAACAGCAACAACGCTTTGTTTCCATTCTTTGTACATGTGTACAGTTGTACTACGTGTGCATCCCCGATGTTCATGTTCATGAGTGACACACCAGGCAACGGAAGAACAAAAACTGGCCTGTGCTGAATGAATGCATGCATGTCCACTGTCCATGCCTTGAAGTTGGTGTGGTGAAGTGGTGTATTGGTGCAGCCGGGGATGAGATTTCACTTGCCACAACTTTAGCTACTGAACTTACGTCTCTTGAACTTCTTGGATCACTGTTGGCAGGACAGTACACAACTTCTGCAAAGAAAGAGAAAAAAACAAAACAGTTGAAGCACGCCACTGTATCTTGAAGGGGAAGCCTCGATTTTTCATGTAGGGTTCAGATGAAAGACAATTTGATATCGGTTCGAATGGCATATCTCTCGCTTGCATACGATAAACCACACTTGCCAAATCGCCAATTGCATGATCCCGTTGCCATAGCGACCAGCGCAGTGATGACGCACCTTCTGCTTAGCTCCATGAGAGAGAAGGTCGATCACTGCAGAGTTTGGTCATTTTCAATTGTCCTATTGTTTTTGCCATGTGAAAGAAGTGCTATTTTCAATCCTGTTAGTGCCATGAACTGTTTATTAGTAGTCCTCTCCGTTCTGTACTGGGACGAGACACGGACAGGAGAAAGCTGGAGTGCGGAGACATCAGCAGACAAGCGAAAATGGCGACAAGTAAAGTGCTGAAATCTTGGTTGGGACGAATAAGACGTTCAGCATTTGCCCCAACCAAGGACCATGCCGTTTGCTCTTTCCAGTTCTTGAAGATGGATGTGGTGCTTTCTGACGACTCTCCTGTCTCTCGTTACATCTTCTGAAGCCAGGTGAGACGACGGGTGGTGGAGATAGACGAACGGAATACTGCTACTTTTTCGAAAGTTTGCTGAAAATTTCTCAGGAGAGATGGCGAATATCAAGCACCTTCACCTAGAGGAACCATTTTTTAGGATACAGTCAGCCTATAGGGAAATGCGGGAGAAGGCCGATAAGCAGTTCATGGCACTAACAGGATTGAACACAGCACTTCTTTCACATGGTGAATACAATAAGACAATTATTGAAAATGACCAAACTCGGCAGTGATCAACCTTCTCTCTCACAGAGCTAAGCAGAACTTGCGTCATCACTGCGCTGGTAGCTATGGCAACGTGATCATACAATTGGCGATTTGGCAAGTTTGGCTTATCGTATGCAAGCGAGAGATATGCCATTCGAACCAACATGAAATTGTCTTTCTTCTGGACCCTACTTGAAAAACCGATGCACTTCCCCAATTACAGTGTACTTCAGTCCATTCCATATACAGTAAAACCTGTGACTAACGACCACCCCTTGGTGCCAGCAAAAGCGGTCTTTAGTAGCAGGTGGTCTTTAGTTAGAGGTTTGCACCGTGTGACCATATATGGATCCCATTATATGAGATGTATATCAAAATGCAGCAATTTCCCAGGACTTGCGCAATGCCATTCTTAATCCAGGTCAAACAACACTTGGAGAGAAAGACGGAGAGATGGAGAGATACAGAAATAGAAAGAGAGAAGATTAATTTGTTTGCAGACATCAAATTCAGCTGCTACTTCTGAAGCCAGGAGTCAAACGTTCCCTGTGGAAGTTTCGTTTTGCGCTGGGCTTCAAATTTGTTCATGCGATCAATCGTACCGACTATCCTTGTTGTGACTTCTCGATTGTTTGAACGCGATCCTTCAGCATCAGGACCTCGCGGTGCTGCTTTGTTTCTGGATTCCTTGACGCCATCGTCGATTCGTTTGTATGACTGGGGTGACAGAGCCGCTCAGTCTTCGTCTCTCCTCCGAGTAGTAACATCGAGCAGATAGCGCTTTCGATGCGCTCTCCGAGACGTTTCATATCATGTTTATTCTTGACAGCGCTTGAAATTCTGACAGTTGTATTGCAGTCCACACGGACTCCACAGTCAAAATGGCCTGCGTACATTTGTTCAGCTGTAGTACCGAAAGATTCCTTTCAGGACCATGGAAAATCAGCAAAATTTCAAGAAGGAGCTTCGAGCAACATTTGATTTCCTACATCGCGGTCGCTAGTTACGGGTCAAAAATCGTCTTTGGGACAAGAAAAGGCGGTCGCTGGTCGCGTTCAGCAGGTAGTCGCTAGTCACAGTGAATTTTGAATGTGAGACCGTCCGTGCCTGGCCAAGTGGTCGGTAGTAGCAGGCTGGTCGCTAGTCACGGTGGTCTTTAGTTACAGGTTTTACTGTAGTAGCAGGCTGGTCGCTAGTCACGGTGGTCTTTAGTTACAGGTTTTACTGTAAGTGTGCACTCTTTTCCATCCAGTCACAGGGCCATTGTGTCTGCCCCATGGATTCTACATGACATGTAGAATACATGGGGCATACACAATGGCCCTGTGACTGGAAAAGAGTGCACACTTATATGGAATGGACTGTAGTAACCTCGACATTCCACAAAGAACATGTTCATGTGCCTGTATTGCATTTTACACGTGTGCCTACTCTGCTGTCTTTACAAATCTGTGCACAGCATATGTGTCCATATACATGCGTGTAAACACAAACAAACAAACACACATACACACATATTATACACACATAATTACATGAACAAATCGGGCCACAAACACATAACGTCCAAAACGCATACGTGGACTGGTATACCTTTTGAAAAGTCATCAGACGCGAAGAAAAATGCTTGAACAGTCAAGTCGTCAAACGATGTTGTTGCCGAGCCATCAAGGCTATGAGTAGTTCTCTGATCTGTGGAAAGGAAACGGATATACGACAATCAATTGAAAATGATGCAAGCAAGCTTGCGCCAGTCAGATACATTTTCCAGTAGTGTTATTCCATGAGAAACTGTCAGCAGGGTTACGCGGAGCAACATTTATTGCGACCCAATGATTCGCTGGCTTGCAGGATAGGTCACGGAACAACATAGATCTGTACCAGGATCTTTTGTGTAAACTTCAGTTAGACTTTCTCATGCACTTGAAAAAACCGCCATTCCGGCAACAGGCTCTCAGCTGCACCAAATAGATAAATAAATAACTTTGCCTTTGTTTTCAAGTGCAAGAAATACGCAGTAATCGAGTTTGGAAATTCTGCGAAGTAGTGGTTGCGACTTCGGCGATGATTTGTAAGAAAGGGTTTGCTCCCCACACCGGAGCTCGCGCTATTCCGCCGACTTTACTTGACACTTGACTGACTCACGACTGTCATCCAGAGCACACGAGAAGTCCATCGAACCTTCGACTCGGCAAACCTGCAAGAAAGCACCACTCCCTGCTCAATACACAGTGTTTCGGGGAATTCACCCCTCATCAGTTGAGCTTGAGTAGGCTAATAGCACGAGCTCCGGTGTGGGGAGCAAACCCTTTCTTACAGACTTTATCATGTACATAATATAATAGTTACGACTGGCAAAGCATGTCCTCTTCGAAATTTCAGAACCAGTAACAGTAGTAGGCATGCCGCAGTCAATATTCGAGGCAGTGGTGCCACGGCTTGCTGCGGATAGTACGAGGACGGCTGCGGGCCGGCCAGATGCTGCTCTGGGCACGGATGTGGACTTGTCGGAAGTCGCATTGACGGATGAGGAATCGTCCGAAGCGGCAGTTGCGCGGAACCCAGTAACGTACCCCAACAAAGTGGAAGCCACGCCGGATTCTGGGTCTGCAGATAACCTCTCAGCAGATTGGGAGCCGTGTGATGTTTTTATCGCTATCCGGGGGTGATGCATCAGAGACTTGGCTCCCACTGTGTCCGGCCGCCTCAAGCAGTCAACAATCAAACCCCTGAGTGATGAGTCGTCCACCTCATCATGGCTTCCACTGCGGCCAACATCTGCTTCAATTGAAATGTGATCACATTATGCTGAAGAAGCTGTGATGGAGACTGGCCAGCGTTCAAGAGAAGGCAACCAGAAGAGAGACGCTAGGGATATAAAGATTCTGGCAACAGTGCCAGTGTCTGCTCCAGAATTGTAGGACAGCCGGGTACACGTGTACCTGGCGCAACCATTTCAACCGGGTCGGAGCCGGGTACACATGTACCTGGCGCTGTCTCACCAGCCGAGTCACATGATCTAACTGGTTGGTTGGTTTATTTTAATTCGGACAATAAACGGGAACTACTCCGAACTAGGGCCAATGATATAAAGGCGAATGGATAAGCCGCATTTAGAAAAGAGAGGACAGGAATTAGAAAATTACGAAAGAAGAAGACGTATCTGACACATACAAGCCATGTAGTCAGTCCTTTCAAAGTTCGAAAGTGTAAAGTACCAACCGGGTCACAGGTGACCCGGTACTTTATTTTCAACCAGGTCCAAGCGCCGCCCAACCGGGTGGATTACCCGGCTCACCCGGCGCTGGAGCAGACACTGAGTGCAGGATCACCTGACACCAGAGCAACGTGTCTTGGTGGAGATAGCTGGTGAGAAGGGCGTGTCCTCCTGGCTGATGGTAGAACCAAGGTCCGCCCATGGCACAACTCTCAACAGGTCAGAGTTTAAACATACTGTGGCGCTTCGGTATGGTCTATCGCTTGATGGGCTACCAACGGACAGTAAATGCAGAGCCCAACTGTCGACTGACCATGCAATGGTGTACCCTTGTGGGGGGGGGGGGGGACTATCCCACAGCAAGGCATAACGAGACACGTGATCTCATCACTGAAATACTGAGGAGTGTAAGTCTCTATGGGGCAATCGAGCCCAAGCTTCTCCCATTTGGTGGTGAGACATTGACATGGACAGCAGCAAACCGATCCCAAGAAGTGCGGCTCGACACCAGGGCTCGTGGCTTTCGGACCCGGCAGCAGGAGGCCTTCCTCGATATCCGGTTAACGCATCCCAGGGCCACCTTGCTGTCTCGCGCCAAAGCCATGAGCCAACTAGAGCGCAATGAGCGGTAAAAGAAACGGCACTATGCAGAGCGGGTCAATCAGATTGACCGACGCACATTCATTCCTCTGGTATTTGTCACCAACGGCATGATAGGCAAGGAGTGTTCAGTGTTTTGAAGTCATTGGTTGGCCATATTCTGGAGAAAAATGTTGGCTTGGTGTATTCTGTTGTTGCGATGTCGTTTGTCATTCTACCTACCTCGCTGGTGCGTGGATTACCTGTTTACCTGGCTCTAGGTCCTCCTATCACTCTAAGCGCCCGGTGAGTTTTGTAAATGACTGCTGTGTGCTTTCTAGGGCATACCGGTAGTATTTTTTTAACCATCTCGTGTATGGTGATTACCGGTAGGCTAGTTTGTTTCCGGCATCTTGAATGTTTCCTTTTGTCAGAATCTTCATTTTGTTGTTTCCTTTCTGGGAAACTGGACGCAGTGAATTGGTTTTTCGGTCTTTGACCACTTTGCGGTGGGTCTGATCTACTCACCTCCCACCGCTTAGGAGCTACATCTGCGCCTTGATCCTACAGGGTGGTGGCTCTCCAGCGGATGCGGAAAACTTGTCTCACGCAAACCGTGAAAAATTATTTATTTCTGGCCATTCTGGGAAACCATGTTCTCTTCTATAAACATCGTTGTTGCAATTCACATTTTTTCAGTCAATTTTGCTGTTCTCTATTCGAATTCTTGAATGACACAGCCACACAGACACCGTGAGGCCATGGCTTAATCTCCGCACTGCTAGCTGTTTTCAGCTTGTTAGGTTAGAAACACGGCTCATAGGGAATTTCTGAATCCGCGGTCGAAACACACATCGTTTTGGGTTCCGTTTCCCCTATATACTTTGACTCCCCGCTGTGCAGTACACAGTACATGGATGCCTGTGTTACTAGTTCTGATGCATACTAAGTAACGTGGGAGACTAGTATAACAATCATGCATGACATGGGAGGCGCGTATACAAATCAGCCGAGTGTCTCACAACATGAGCATTGCTTCCTTCCGGCTCGCGCAAAACGAGTTCGGCAGATGGAGAGTCAAATATACACAGTTACGCCAGCCACACATGTACATGTAGGACGCACATACAAACAGCACTTAGCCTGGTAGTAAACGAGATAACTATCGTCCCATGGTACGATACGATTTGGGCAATTTCAGCCAATCAGCGGCCGTTCTGAGCGAGGTATATAGAGCGATACACTACACTCCGCTGGGGTCAAAAATATACCCCACTCGGTTCAGTTATATACCTCGCTTGGTTCAAATAATATACTCCACTCGGTTCAAATATATACCCCGCTTTGTTCAAATATATACCCCGCTCGGTTCACACGGGTCCCGTCAAGACTAAAATATGGGAGGTTTTCAGTGTTGATCATGCTCTATTTCGGACAGTACCATTTTTACAGTGTCCCTCACATTTCCCCTTGTGCTAACACACTCGTGACAATATTCGGCGGTATACCCCTCGTACTCATGGTATAACCCATCCGTACGTATAGGTGCTGGAGATGTTAGACACAGTGCGGTGTGCTTACTGCAGTGGAAGGCCTGGTCCAGCGGTGCTTTGAAGTAGTCCTGGCCACCGTAAGCATACTGGGGATTGCCGATGTTTTCCTGGTGAAAGAACCGCGTCGCCAACCAAGCGCCCTCCTCAATCCGATGATGAAACACCACCTACAGCAGAGGAAAGTATGTAGAGATTGTGTTCGAAATAATCAAAGTTGGAGTACAAGTATAATTCTAGAGCTAGAGCAATGATCTATCTGTCAACCGAAACAGCCTGCTGTCTACAGCATTGGGTACACGTCTTATGTATACTTCGCCAGGTCACCTAGCTCCACATTCATATACTCCCTGATGAAGTCCCAAGGGCAAAAATTTGGAGCGTTATTTACAACAATTGCAGTGTAAGACCGTGGTGGTGAAGAAGGAGATTGAGATAAGGTGCACTAAACTACAGGTTTAGCGTTGTTGGTATCCAACATCCCCTGACAAGACGTGTGTGAAAGTCTAACACGCAAGTCCAGATAAGAGATAATCCGTTTGTGGATTAGCCTGAATGATGTATAACAGCAGAAGAACGTGCAAGTCCTGAAAATAGATATTGTAGACATTGTAGACTCGTTACAAGACAACCATGTTGAAAACCCCCAGGGTTGTTTACCTCGGGGGGGGGGGGGGCGGCATGCATTGGGTGCCTGGAGAAACTTGTCGGTTCTGAGTGAAATTATCAAGTAGCATCTGGTCATGCACGACCACCACATTTCAGCTTTCTGTCTTGGATCCTTATACACAGCTGTCCTGCTAGGAGGGAGGGACGGGGGGGGGGGGGGGGTGTTGTGCAAGACTGAAAAGAGAAATACCACTTGCATGCGAAGTTCTGTTTAGAATACCGTTCACGACTCGCTTTCAAAAAACCCGCTATTATTCATGTTGTAATGCACCTGACCGTACACAGACGTGAACAGCGCTTGGTCAGCACTGCATGCCAAAACATGCATAGGTCTAAATGATAGGACGTACAACTGTACATTATTGTTAGATTGACAGCATGAAACAAGGTGGAGGACACTGTGTTCGGAAACAGTGACCTTACTACAACCTTCCGCGGTTGGCAGAGCCCCGGTCCCTTCGGACCATTGAACCATATGGGTGTTGAACCTGGTTCTGATCCTCATTATGCTAGGGGGGTTGGAGACTACTCCTTACGTCCGTCGGGTTCAACACACATATGGCAGACCATCTGGTAAAAGGAGAGCGATCGCTCTCGCGCGCCTTCGCTTTCCTTATTTTCATTTTGGGCGCACTTTTCGTCGCGCGCCTTGAGAATTTCGAGCGCATCCGCATCACTATGTGCATTCTGCAAACACTCAAATATTTCGTAACTCGGCTTTCCCTGAACGGAAGTGAGTAATCGAAAGGTCTATTCGCATTAAAAAGTTCTCAGCTGTCGGATCCAAAACATCTCAAGTCGATCCGAAGTCGAATAGTGGAGTTACGGCACCCGCAAGGTATTTTACGTCCCGTTGCAAATTTTCACTTCCGCAATTGGGTGGCAATCATAATAATATTATTTTTTTGACATGAAGGATTTCCCTCTGTTGCGTGACAGTCCGGGCATGCATAATAGACCTGTTTGACGTCACGCACAGGTCTTTAGCGGTCAGCTACAAAAGAAAGGAGCGCTCTACAATGAATGCTACAAAATACCATGGATCTTAGCGAATTGCCTCAATTTCCCGTTGCGCATGTCTTCCCAGGGCTATACTCCCCTATATATAGATAGTAAAGTGCCACTGCAGTAGCACTCTAGCTGGTGAAAATCCCACTGGTGTGTTCCTCCTGCCAATAGCTTTCCAGAATGCTTGAAATTCATTGTCAAAACTGATGAAGGGAAACTAAAGTTGTGGTCCGAACAGCTTCCATTTGTAGTGCATAAGGTAATTGTCCAGAAAGAATTTGTCAGGGTATTGAATCCGATTGGGGTATGGCAAGATGTTGAAACACCCGTATTGTGCTCGCTTTGGATAGATAAGGCGAGCTATTTGGGGGGGGGGGGGGGTGGTTGTGGTGGGGACTGCTCTCCCACCACTCTCCTTGAGTGGATAGCGAGAGTGATTGTTCACTCTCCTCGATTTTTCTTATACGAAGGTCTGTATGGTTTAAATGGTCCAAAGGGACCGGAGCTCTGCCAACCGCGGAAGGTTGTAGTAAGGTCACTGTTTCCGAACACAGTGTCCTCCACCTTGTTTCATGCTGTCTATCTAACAATATGTGTGAACTATAACAAGGTTTATCTAATACTACTGAGTTTTGAACTACTTGTAGTATTATGTTATAATATTAATACAACTGTACATGTATGTAATTCTGAAAGTTAGTCATGACAGCCACCCATTAACAGGCTCACACTCTAGGAAGCTAAGTACAGTCAGACCTCGCATAACCGCACACATCCGTTTCCACAATATATCCGGATAGGCCGGAGGGAACCGGATAATCGAGCACACATACTGTATGTATCCATGACATATGCTGTAAATTGGTAACCAACGATTCTCTTCCGGATGGCAAGGGATCCGGATAATAGAGGACCGAATAAGCGGGGTCTGACTGTACTCAATACGTTCCCTAAACAGCAGTGACTTATATGGGCCTTTTTTCCCCAGGAGTTGTGGATATAAGTTAGGAACACAAACCCCAAACCGACCCAGCCCCATCGACACACTGTCCTTCTCGCGTCGACATATTCCTGTGAGCAAGTCAGATCAGCCTGCAAGCAAGCCAGGAGCGGCATAGGAAATACCCTGCTACTCTCCTACTCAGCACTAGAGTACAGCCAAGCTCGGGTATATCACCACTGGTGATAATGATGGGTTATCCGCAATGATGACGGAATGATATTGCCCGAAGCACGGTGCTTCACCTATGTCAGTATCGCATGCGGTGACACACGCGTATCGGAAATAAGATGCTTTAACAGTGTTGGCTGTTACAGTGCTGTTATACTCCAGCTTCACTGTAGCTGTATAGACCACCCTTTGATCACAATGAGCAAGCCCAAGCATACCGTGAAGTTGAACCAGCCATTTTGAGGAAGATCCACAGCGCCCCAGAATACAATAAGCATTGCCACGGATGAACTGCACTCCCCCGACACTTTGGGATAGCCGTACAGTTCTGTCAGCTTCTTAGCCGACGTCACTTGCTCTATTGCAGCTGGACCTGCATGGCGGGCAGGTGTACGCACGTGTGCACGTGTGCATGTGTGCATGTACAGATACAGACACACACATACAGAGACACAGACACACACATGCACATGTACACACACATGCATATGTACACACACATGCACATGTACACACACGGCCACGACCACACACACACACACACACACACACACACACACACACACACACACACACACACACACACACACACACACACACACACACAATACTAGCATATGAAACCACGGTGCTACCACTTCTCAAATGATTGGGTCCGATCAACGCACAGCCACGCATGGCTTTAGGAGCAGCAGCTCCATCTTGTTCTCTAAGGGTGGTGACATTACCAGGGTGCGGAAAATCATTCTACGTGAGCCGTGAAACAGATCTTCTTTCAAATTGATGACATAAGCCAAAGTGACACCAACTCAGGTCAATTTCTGCAATACGCTGGTCATAGCCTGGTATACACATGTACGTACCAATACACTGGTGATAGCCTGGTATACACATGTAGGTATCTTGCATCCAGTAATGTAAATACTGTACAGCAGCAAAGCGTAAGCGACGGCCACGACTGACATTCAAACACTTACCACTGGAACCGGGGAATTGAAATTCAATGTCGCTTGTCCGAAACTGGATGCAAGTACCGTTGGCATCGCCTACCTTCCAGCGAAACACTGGTACGGACGGTCCTTCTGTTGTTGTGTTGCTGCTATGTGGCAGATCCTGCCTAACCGCCATGTCCGAAGACACTAATCCATCACTAGCCATATATCAAGAAATAGAGAGCAGCACAACCAAAGAGTGTTTGAGAAACCGTCACTATAACCATGTAAGGGCATGACTTGTAAGGCGTGGCATTCTCGAATGGATTTGCGTGCACCCAATGCAATGCACTGGTTGACAATGCCTGTGGATGCATGTCCTTGGCTTGAACATATACAAGCTGATCAGTACCGCGCCCTGCGTTCATGTGCATCCATGCGGCATCACTTCCGGGGTAGTGTAGGCCTTGTGCCAAACAGTCATGACATGCAAGTGTAGTGCAGTGCAGTACAGCACGGTGCTACATCCGCCATGGTATTAAAGTCCACTACAGCGCTGAACAGTGCTACATCAGCCATGGTATTGAAGTCCACTATAGCGCTGAACAGTGCTACATCAGTCTTGAATGATCCACAGACTAGCTTTCTGCTTACCACCACCTCCGACAGAGACAACAACACATGGTCACTCCATATACAACATAACGTTGTCTGTGCAGTGGATGCCAGACGTGTACCAAGGCTAAGTAAATACATGTTGTGGATGAAATATTTCCAAACGCACTCTGGCCTAGCTGGACATTTCGCCGACGAGCTCAGTCCAGCCGTGCATGGGTGTGTGAAGCAGGAGAAGGGCCTGCCGCCGGGGACCCCCACCCGAAGCCACAAACAACCCCTAGCCACATAGATAGAAAAAGCCCCCAGAGCCAATAGGAAAGGGCCAAAAGGACTACTCACAGTACCAAAGGGGTTCCAGCAGGGCAAAGGAAGGGGTACAGGGCTGGCGGGCATTCCTACAGGGATGAAAGAGAACGGGCCAAAGGACTCTCCACAGCGCCACAGGGGTTCCAGCAGGGCAAAGAAAGGGGTACAGGGCTGGCGGGCCTTCCTACAGTCAGAAAGGGCCAAAAGGGCTCTCCACAGCACCAAAGGGGAAGAATACCTTTAACAACAGGCGCAAAGGGCAAAGAAGGGGTACAGGCTGGCTGGGTAAGCGAGGCCTAGAGCTAACTCCTTTGGTGACGTGGACAATCCTTTTGGCCCTTTCTGACCAGTAGCATGGCCAAACATCACTGGAGTGACATAACACCCTGGACGGCAGCATTTCACTCGGTCTCCAATTGCGCATACAACACAACTGTGTAGATAGAAAATTCCTTTCGTAGAAAAAATTGAAGAAAAGGCGTTCACTAGCACAAGTATTGAATATGACAGTGATCATACCTGGTGGCTGCAGCCGTATCGCAATAGTGCAGGCAAAGCATGGTCATACACGCCATCCAGCACCTGATCGATGGTGCAACATCCAGCATCTTCCAGCCTGCATGGATGAAATCCGAAACCGGAATGAGATCAGTCGTCTACATGTGCACTTGCATATGCATAGTACATGCACGTGCAAGAGAGGCTTTGCAGAGCAAATTTTGTTTAACGTGACTAAAAGAGAAACCTTGCATGAGCGTTCGAAACTTTCAGCACAACAAAACTAAACGTTTGCGGGAATTTTCGCTCAGATTGCTGACTCGTCGTGAGCTACCTTCATGCAATGTGTTGTGCTTCACCTTTCACAAATCCAGTAGATATGCCATTTGTGCTTGGTCTACTAGTGAACATTACACTGGCAAATTCTCTCCTACTGCTGCTGAGCCAGCGGTTACGCCATTTACAGGAACTCTGAACCCCTTGAGAAACCGATGTCCGCAGTAGAGGCAGAGCAATGGATCGTCTGAAGAATCAACGCTCCTGCGGGTCTGATAACATATCGGCCAAGTTGGTCAAATATGGAGGCTCCGCGCTTGCAGAATGCCTTAGCAGCATTTGTCAATGATGTGTTCACTCAGCACAGCCAAGCGCCCATGGGAGATGGTGTACTGATCGATTTGCATAAGCCGGGTAAACCCAAACGCCCCATGAGTAATTTGCGCCCAATAGCATTGCAGACTACTGCTAGGAACATCTTGTCCCTCATCACTCTTAACTGGATCAGAGCCGACGTATATATCTCCATCGCAAGCCGGGTTCCGTGAGAATAGATCAACTGCAGATATTGTGTTTTGCAAACAGATCCTGGCATCAATTGTTGAGCGCTTCAATACGACTATCTACGTGCTGGGGTTGGACCTGAGCAAGGCATTCGATACAGTAAACCGCACACAATTGCTTGATGTCATTGAACGATAGAAAATTAGAGATACGGTCAGCTAAAGGCTGGTTAGGTACCTGCTGGCTGACACAGCACTGACAGTCAGCGTGAACGAGGCACAGTCTGCACCTTTCGAGACAGCTCAAGGACTCCTCCAGGGGGATGGATTGTCACCACTACTGTTCACGATATATTTCAGAAGCGGCACTACGAATGGTGCTTTCTGCCTGTCTGCATCACCATTGCCACTCTCCTCACCTACCCCCTTGTCATGGTCATCAGCATCATCTTCATCATCCGTACCCATCATCACCACCATCAGTGTCCTCCCTCGTCCTCGTTGTCTGGCTGACCATACTCCGTTTCCTCTAGTTTCCTTTACAGGTTGACCCATCTCATGATTCTTGTTCTTCCGGTGACCGTGCTGTTATTGCTGCCATAGTTTGCTGTTGTTCTCCTGGGTCATTTCGCCTGTGGTGCTGCCTCCCCTGTATGCTTTCGGTCAGTTTCAGTGCTCTGTCAAGTCAGCACTGTCGTAAGTTGCACGTTGATTCCTGGTTCAGTATTGTACGTCTTGCTCACAATGTTCCGCAATCGAGTTAGAAGTGCTAGAAGCTGTTTACATTTACGAACGCCACCCGACCTATGCATTCAGAAGGAATCAGTCCATACACTGACACTATTTTCGTAATTCGCACAGTTCAGTCCTATGTTTAGTTCATGTTTTTCTTTCTTCACTTCTTTCATCCCTACACCACATTATCTTGCTAGTTTGCCATGTATATTTCACATCGTTTCACCTAATACTAGTAACTAGTGCACTAGTGCTTGTTTTCAGATATGGAAGCCTGTGTTGCTTCATCTCCGGATCCATCTCCGACCTCCTGACTGCTGAGCTCTGCAGAGTTGGCTGCAGGAGAGATGTTTATTTTATTTTATTTGCAGATGGACATGGTTATGAACTTATTTTGTATTGAATTGCATTTTATTATTTTTCTTAGGCATTCCCAACAGACCCTAATGTCTTCTTACAGGGTGCCCAAGATGAATGAAATTGTTAAGTTCCTGGCGAAATGAATTGCAGGGGCGTCGGAACCGGTGCGGCAGGTGCGGCCAAAGCCGCACCAATAATTTTCGAATTTAATTTTTTAATTTTTTTACATTTCAACCTTGTTGGTGGCTTGTCGACTCTTGTACAGGTACCATGTTTTACATCGACAATGCGGTGTATCATCAGCATGCATATTCTTTTTTATTATTCTGTAGCGTTAAAATATGGCTTTTTAGGCCCAATTTTCAACAATTTTCGCGGGGGAGGACCCCCGGACCCCCTCTCACACTTTGGCCGCACCAATGTTAAACTCCTTCCGACGCCCCTGAATTGGGGATATGATTTGTGCGAAGGGATTCGGGAAGCGCATTAAAGCGGTCAGCACCAAAGAATGAAATAGATCTGTATCCAGCTTGAGCTTGCACAATGGGTGAGGAAAGGGAATAATTGACTCGGCCGCTTTACTTATGATGCACCAGATTATGGCTTGGGCCAACCCGTTTATCCGTGGGTCTCCAAACATGAACAATGTGGTCAAAAAGCTCTCGTCTCAGGGTGCCGCCATTCGCAACAAGTATATTCTTTGATCTGATCAAGAACATTTCTTGTCAAACAAGTGCACTTGCACGCGTGCTTCCTCAGAGCAAAACGTCATACGAAACACAAAGTTTGCACAAACATTGGCAGGAGATCGCAAGCCCAGACGTGAAACTCTATGCAAAGTTCCGCTTTTCAAAACTTCTCTACAATGCAAAATAAACAGTGGAACATCCCGACTAGCCAAGCATGGTTCTCTATCATGGCTTCTCTTGGGTGAATTAATTCTCTATCGGAAGTATCACTGACGGGGTATCTACGGTCAGGATTCATGTGCAGTCATCAACTGCTGCCCAACATCCAATGAATGGCACAATGGATTACGTCGTTGCGTCAGTTGTCCTTCACGAATTCCTATTGAAATCAGTTTCGAGCTGTCGCTCGGTAACATAATATCAGAGGGTCGAGTGCCAGGCAGAATGGAACTCACTCTGAGTGGGACTGCAGCATTCAGGAGGCTTCGACGACACTGTCCGGCAAGCTTACCTGATCTGGTGCTACCTAGCGTGCACCCTAGCGCAACCATCTTCACCACGACCGACCGACCGTCCTTGAAGACGCTCACCACGCCGCGGTATTGCCGATTTGACTTTCCATCCACAAGAAACAGAGTGGTACTCGCCCGTTCGCGCTTAGCTCTACAAAGTCATTACCAGATTCACCTGGGCTATAACCCACGCAAAGCCGACGAGAAAGACTATTAATATTTTTATTGCACTCTGGGCTCTCCTCAAAACACAAAATTAATTATTTTCGGCTGTAGGGAAAGAGAAGCGTTTGTAACTTTTGAGCTTTGTGGCCAAGCACATCCACCGATTAGTCTGCAAGGATGGAGTCCAGTCACGACCTCCAACTCCAAGCTGAAGCCTTGAAAGTGAATAATGGTCTCTCCAAAAATATCGTTGCTACAGTCATGTGCCTTTTGGTGGAACTATTCCAGAGGATTTGCCAAGCTTTCTTGTTGCTCGTCATTCACTTGCTTGACATGCGTCTTTGAAAAGTTTGATTTTCCGAAATGGACACGGCTTGTAGATCTACATGATAATCCAAAACAGCAAGCTTCTCAGATGCATTGCAGATCAGTCCATCGAGTGAGCATGGACTGGTGTCTGCACATGTGGTGAGTAGATCTACCACTAGCAGTGACAGTAGACATCGTATGTCTACCGGCGCGGTATACCCGGCGTAGGTCACCGGGTGGACTTGAAAAATTGATGATATCCACGTGATCCAAACGGGACGAAGCGCAGATCAAAAAATGAACACAAACAAGAATAGATCAGACGCCACGCGGTAAATCTACGGACCTGGCTGCACGCTGGATGATAGATGCATGGCCGCGCCGGTAGACTAGACTCATGAGTGACGACTGACGGTCGGTGAGAGCTTGCACGTGGCTTTATTTTCGCCGGTCGGCCTGCACCGTTTTGTGTGTGTGTGTGTAGTAGACATGGCATTTTAGTACAGTTCACGCGCTACATCGGCACTCGTACCCCAAACCCAAAATACCGTCGGTTTGGTACCGTTTCGACGATTGAAAGCTCTTTTTAGCGGGAGAACGAAACGGTAAGATTATTTGTTTGTTTGTATTTATTTTGATTCGCAAATTCAAACGGGCATAGAACCCAATAACATGAAAGCGAATATGAAAACTATAATGAGAATGAGAATTAAGATGCTTAGATCTTCAGCGTAGAGTCAGCGGTACATCAGAGGGAGATCGGGTACAACAGAAAGAGAACAGAAAAAAAACAGATTTCGCTTGTCTTCAGGATCTACAGGGCACAGGTATAGGGGATTACCATGATTACCTGCGTGCGAAACTGCCGAGCGTGATGGATGGCACGGATGTCGCTGGGGAGGGCATTCCATAATACAGCACCTTTGCAAGTAAAGCGCCCCTGCCCCGCAACCGAATGGGAAACTGGCACGCACAGGCCCATGGCAGATTGGAGCCGAGTAGGGCCGGGTGCAGCGGGGGTTAGCAGGGCTTGCATTGCAACTCTGGACTTGCCAGTGCATAACGACAGCGCCACACCAGGTATGCTAGCTTCTGATTGAAGACTTCTGCCACACGGAACACTGCCATGCGCTCCAGCAGGTCGCGGGCAGACGACCACGGAGGGCGGCCAAAGACAGCACGAGCCCCACTGTTCTGCAGGACCTGTAGACGGTCGAGGCACCTTCTTTGCAGTGAGCTAGAGTACGCGTTTGAGGCATACAGCAGGTCAGACATGATCAGCGATCTAAAGTAGGTCATGCGTGACTGGTGATTCAGGCAGCGGCGCATTCGCCAGAGTGCTCCGATCTTCTGCGGCACGCGTGCAGAACATTTGGCAATGTGGGCGTGCCAGGACATGCCGGAATCGATTGTGGCGCCAAGATAACGAGCACTTAGCACACTAGGCAGTGAAGTGGCATGGCAGACGACCTGTAGATCAGCTGTGTGCTGACGGCCGGCAGGAATTGGCACTACTTGGCTCTTGCCAGCATTGAGGATCAGGCCTCGATCCTTCAGCCAGTCTGCAAGGATTGAAACCGAAGCAGATAAGACATCGGATACCTCCTGTGCTGTTCGCCGGCTGCACGCGAGCGCAATGTCGTCCGCGAATTGAACTGACTCAGACTGGCCAAACAGCGGGGACCTCGCGGGTGTAAAGGCTGAACAGAATGGGGCCCAGCACCGAACCTTGGGGGACACCACTCGTGCAAGCTGATATAGAGCTAGTCCGCGACCCCAGACAGACACGTTGAGTGCGACCGGATAGGTAGCTGGCGAACCAGTCCAAGGCAGAACCGGACACCCCAACACTGTGGAGATCCTGCAATAGCTTGACATGTTGGACTTTATGGAAGGCTTTGGACATGTCTAACAGGCATACACCTGTGACTAGGCCCTGGTCCTTGGCTGTTAGGATGCGGTTTGACATAAGGACTAATGCGTCTTCCGTAGAGTGGCCACGCCTGAACGCAAACTGGGTTGTTGGTTACGATGCTGTTATGTCCGATTCCAGCTGGGGTTACCTCACACGTCTATCGTTGCGTCAGGAGTCAGGACTCAGAAGCCGAACTGCTAACCGTGTCTCGAAAACATCATCAAAAACAGTAGACTCACCCTCTACACGCGACCGTCGAAAATAGCGTGAACGGTAAACTGCTAACCATGGCTATTTTATTTATTTATTTCTGCACCTCGTGGCATGTCAAGACAGCCAATTGAATTGAGGAGAGGGTGAGACCAACCACGGAAGAAGAGAAAAAAGAAAATGAAGAGGACGTACACAAAGTGGGAAGGGATTATGGTTTTTTTTCATCTAAATGTCCTGCTATTATCGGCAGAGGTGATTTCTTCCCTCGTCGATTTCTTTCCTGCTTTTATACCTCGATATTTAGGTGCTTGTTTCCCTTCTTCCCATGCTTCATCTTCCACTCTCCTCTCCCCCATTTCCCCATTTTTCTTGCGATATTTATGTGGGAGACTTCCGTGATAAGCATCCATTTGCTTTTGGAGAATCCTTTTAATATAAATACAATACAATACAATTAGCAACTTACAAAGCAATGGGATGCTCAGCGAGCTATGCAGCGGAAGTGGTGACTGTGACTTTGTTTACTGGGAGATACTGAAGTGCTGTCTGACGAGAGTACGGAATTTGAGCATATCTGGAGCTTGTCTAACACTGGGAGGCAGTTGGAGCCACGTGGAGTAGGAGGAAAAGAAAGGGGAATTTACGAATAGGGTAGACCTACGTGTAGCTAGGGGGGGGGGACGAACGCAGCTTCGGGTGGTGCCACCTGAATTGAACCAATTACGGGACTGTAAATGAGCAGGGTGCTGGTCAAGGAAAATTGAATGTGCCAGGGTGCACTTGGAAGCATCAAGGTAATGTTGCAGAGTGGTAGTGGATGCAGCAGCATACAAGTCTAGATTTGAGATATAACGATCAGTACGGAATATGATTCGCAGTATACGGCGATGGAGAACTTCTAATAATTTTATTAACTTATGTGGGTTTTGTTAATGGTGGACCAGGCAGGGAAGCCGTACGTGAAGAGGGGAAGAATGTATGATTTATAAAAATTAATCCGGCAATTTTTGGGCAAATGCTTATCTCTCGCTTCCATACGATAAGTAATTAATAATTATTAGTTATAAGGCCGCCTAGAACTAAAGGGGAAGTTAAGGCTAAAATAAAATGTTCACCAGTTGTAGTCTTCAGGGTGCTGAGTCAAATGGTCTTGGTACGAGGAGGCTGAGACGCTCCCTTCCTACTTAAAAAAAATAGGAGAATTGAAAAAACTATAACACCCCTATTCTTTTTTGCCTAGGTCCTCAAGGTGGTAGACGGTGTCGTATTACCCTCGACCGTACCTGTCCCGTACCGTACCGTACCATCAAAGACGGCTGGCCACAAACAGCTGGCCACACTATTCAAATAGCTGTCCCCGGGGAAAATTGCGGAAAAAATCGCAAAAAAACGCGGGGGAAAACGCGGCATAATATGGCATAATTTGCGGTGAATTTGCGGTAAATATGCGGTGAATAATATTGATGTGCGGCAATTTTCAGTGAGTATGTAGTGAAATCAATCAGTTACAAGTCTCTGGTGTAAGCACTCGTCATATTTGAGTGAAAAGCCGCCACGATGAGATGTTGCTGACCGAACAGTGCACTGTGTGTACGTGTAGTGCAACAATAAAGTTCAAAAACGCGGGAAAATCGCGGAAAACGCGGTCTTTTAAAAAATCGCAAAAACGCGGCCGCGGAATCGCAATTTTCCCCGGGGACAGAAATAGGGCTTTCAAATGCAAGATCATAACGTGAATCAACTTGGAAGAATTAGTAGTATGTATGCGAAGTGTATCGGGGGATGCATGCAGGGCGATAGTGCGGGTTCGAATCCCAGGTTATGTTTTAAAGGGGAAGTTAAGGCAAAAATTAAAATTTCACCAGTTGTAGTCTTCGGGGTGCTGAGTCGAATGGTCTTGGTCCGAGGAAGCTGAGACGCTCCCTTCCTACTTGAATCCCAATCGAACTCGCGCACTTCCACCGAAACTGGGTGACTGCGCCCTACTACATTGTAGATGGGGATTTGTATGCAAAATTATTATTATTATTATTATTTATTATTATTATTTATTCATATTTTACTAGGGCAGTCCCCACAGACCTATGGTCTTCTTACAGGGTGCCCTAGCCACGTGAAGATAGCGGAGCGAAATGCAGCAGGTAGGGATATGGTGCGAATCGCGGCAGGGAGGGCGTTCCATCGGTCAGCTCCAAGATAAGATACAGAGTGATAGCCAAAATACAATCTGGCATGGGGCAGTACCAGGCCGAGCAATTCCTGAGAACGGGTAATTCTAGCAGTGCGGGATAATGAGACAGCACGAGGAGTGAAAAGTCGGCAAAGTAGGGGACTAGCACGAGCATTTATGCATCTATGTAGAAACACATAGAGGTTGGCAGCATAGCGAATATTTAACGGTGTTAGGTGCTGTCTAGCTAAGATGGGTTGGATGGAGGCAGAGGGAGGGAAGCCAAAGACAGTGCGGATCGCCCGATTCGCGATGCTAATAAGAGCGTTATAGGTGGTCTGTCGCAGGCAGTGCACGTACGCATTGCTCGCGTACTCCAGGGTAGATTGGACAAATGCAAGATAGAAAGTTCGCTTGGCTCTAGCACTGAGAAGGTGGCGACAACGGCGAAATGCATTGACCTTGGCATTAACTTTACTTCTAATGTGACTTACTTGCTGTTGAAACGACAGATGCTCATCTATGATGATGCCCAGGTACTTGGCTTGCTGCGATTGCTGTATACGGCTGTTGCAAAACTGTAGGGCACAGTCTGCATGTACATTGGGTTTCCGTAGCAGCAGGAATTGCGTCTTGGATGGGTTCAGCTGTAGTCCATGGGCCTCCAGAAAGCTGCTCACACGGGTCAGATCATGTTCCAAGGTCTGTGTGGCAGTGGAAGGGGACGGGTCGGCAGCGTAGATGTTGGTGTCATCTGCATACAGGAGGCA